TCCCCATTTGGACGCTATAAGTGGCTTAGAATGCCAATGGGAGTAAGCCCAGCTCCAGAAGTGTTCCAACAAAAATTGATGCAAGCTTTGGAAGGACTGTCTGGAGTAAAAATAATAGCAGACGATATACTAATAGTTGGGGAAGGTGATGATCTAGAATCCGCAACAAAGGATCACGATAAAAAGATGATACAATTCTTAGACAGATGTAGAAAAAAATAAATCAAACTGAACCTGGAAAAATTCAAACTAAAAATGACAGAAGTACCATATATTGGACATCTTTACCTCAAATGGTGTTAAAGTCGATCCAGAGAAGGTGAGGGCGATACAGGACATGCCGACACCTACAGATATACGTGGAGTACAACGATTCCTGGGCATGGTGAATTATCTTTCCAAATTTTGCAAGCATTTATCAGACATGTGTGAGCCACTGAGACAGCTAACTCACAAAGACGTACTCTGGGAATGGACAGAAAGCCATGAAACTGCTTTTCAGTCAGTGAAAAATGCTATTGCAGACGCAGCAACGCTAAAATATTTTGATCCAGATCAAGCAGTGGTAGTACAATGTGATGCCTCAGAAACCGGCCTTGGAGCCACACTAATGCAGGATAAACAGCCAATCACATATGCAAGCAGAGCGTTAACTCTAACAAAGCAAGGATATGCTCAAATCGAGAAGGAACTACTAGCAGTAGTATTTGGGTTAGAGACATTTCACCAGTACACCTACGGTCGACAAGTGGTGGTGCATTCAGATCACAAGCCTTTAGAAAGTATTACAAAGAAGCCACTACTGAATGCCCCAAAAAGACTTCAGCGTATGCTGCTAAGGCTTCAGAAATATGATTTTAACATTTGTTACTGTCCAGGGAAGGATTTACTGATTGCAGATGCCCTAAGCAGAGCTTACTTACCCATCACAAATGAAGAAGAAAAAGACATTGAAAGCATCAATATGTGTGAATATCTGTCTGTCTCAAAAGACAGACTGAAACAAATACAGACCTGCACAGCGGAAAGATAAAACTCTACAGATCCTATCGACTGTCATCTTGAAGGGATGGCCAAAACACAAGCAGCATGCTCCAATGGAGGTTTCTCCATGTTTTCACATAAGAGATGAACTCTCTGTGCAGCATGGAATCATCTTTAAAGGAGAAAGGGCTGTCATACCACAATCCCTTAGAAGAGACATTATAGAAAGATTGCACTCGACTCACTTAGGTGTAGAAGGATGTCTACGTCGTGCACGAGAATATGTTTATTGGCCTGGAATGAATGACCACATAAAAAACTTTATAGCACAGTGTGAAATATGTGCATCGTGCAATGATAAGCAACCGAAAGAGACATTGCAACCACATCCAATTCCAAACAGACCATGGTCCACAAAAGACCATGGTCAAAAGTAGGAACAGATCTGTTCACGTGGAACGACAAAGAATATCTGGTAACTGTGGACTATTTTTCCAACTTCTGGGAGATAGACTACTTACAAGGGCCAAAACAGTAATTAAAAAACTCAAGGCCCATTTTGCCAGATATGGCATTCCGGATATTGTGTTCTCTGACAACGCCGCTCAATTTACATCGGAAGAATTCAAAAAATTCAGGGAGAGGTGGGAATTTGAGCATCAGACATCATCTCCTGGATATCCACAGAGTAATGGTAAAGCGGAGTCAGCAGTAAAAACAGCCAAAAGACTCATGCAAAAGGCAAAACAGGCAGGTACAGAGATATACCTGTCTATACTGGACCACAGAAACACACCCACACAAGGCCTAGACACCAGTCCAGCACAGCGGCTTATGAGTAGACGTACAAGGACTCTCCTACCAACTGCAGGTCAACTACTAAAGCCAAAGCTTGTGGGCAATGTTAAAGCCAAACTAACGAAGAATCAAGATAGGCAAGCTTTCTATTATAATAAATCTGCAAAAGATCTGCCTGTTCTCCAGAGCAATGACAATGTACGGATTCAGCCAATAGGCAAATATGACAAACACTGGAAAAAAGCAAAGGTTGTCCAGAAATTGGGACCACGGTCCTATGAAATTATAACAGAGGAAGGAAGAAGATGGAGGAGAAATCGGAGACATCTGAGAAAAACACAAGAAGGAGATGATACAGGGCCCTGGGAACAGTATATGGACACTCAAAGCGATGAGTCTATGAATACCAGCAACAAAGAAACAGGGACTGCTGAGGAGCATAGGGAGGTCTCTAGGCAGAGAGAGACAGTCCCAGAAAATAGACTGCCAGAATCAGAAGAACACCAAGATTTCTGTGAAGAAACCTCATATGTTACGCGAGCTGGCAGAACAATCAGAAAGCCGGCTCACCTCAAGGATTATATCTAATTTTATAGCTATGTTCTACTTCACCATTTTGTGTTTGTTATATTTCATTGTTCTTTTATTTAAAAGAGAAAGGATGTAGCAATATGTTATATGCTGTGTATGGCCTCTAGGGGTCTCACACTACGTAGATACTGGTACAACTGTGTTATTGCCTCTCTTTGGTTGTAGTTCTAAGCAGACACATGTATAATGGCAGCTATGAGCACCTAATAAAATGTCTGCTATTAACTACAGTGTGTGAGCATCTGAGCAGGATCTACTAACAGAACACACACGTCATTCACAACCCGGACACGTCATTCACAACTTGGACACGTCATTCACAACCCGCACACGTCATTCACAACCCGCACACGTCATTCGCAACCCAGACACGTCATTCACAACCCGGACACGTCATTCACAACCCGGACACGTCATTCACAACCCAGACACATCATTCACAACCCAGACACATCATTCACAACCCGCACACGTCATTCACACAACCCAGACACATCATTCACAACCCAGACACGTCATTCACAACCCGGACACATCATTCACAACCCGCACACGTCATTCACAACCCGCACACGTCATTCACAACCCAGACACGTCATTCACAACCCGGACACGTCATTCACAACCCGCACACGTCATTCACAACCCGGACACGTCATTCACAACCCGCACACGTCATTCACAACCCGCACACGTCATTCACAACCCAACCCAGACACGTCATTCACAACCCCCGCACACGTCATTCACAACCAGCACACGTCATTCACAACCCAGACACGTCATTCACAACCCGACACGTCATTCACAACCCGGACACGTCATTCACAACCCGGACACGTCATTCACAACTTGGACACGTCATTCACAACCCGCACACGTCATTCACAACCCACACACGTCATTCACAACCCGAACACATCATTTACAACCCAGACACATCATTCACAACCCAGAAACATCATTCACAACCCGCACACGTCATTCACAACTGAGACACATCATTCACAACTGAGACACTTCATTCACAACCCGCACCCATCATTCACAACCCACACAGGTGGCAACCCTATGTAGTACGGTACCGCTGAGTGAAACCCTGGGTTTGAAGTTCACAGTCAAACTTTCTTTAGGTTCAAATGTTCTACTGCAAACCGAATAGGGGGGTGTTCAGCCCATCACTAGTCCCATGATGTACTCCAAAAAATAGATTTTACATGTAAATCAAAACCCCTAATTTTTCATGGAACCCCTAGAAACCTTTGGAAAAAAATGGCTGCTAAAGGCTGGACTAGGCAGTCATCTATTTCTGTCCCCCTTGGTGGGAGTGGAGGTGACCCCTCTATAAGGATCTACAGTCCATACACACCCAGCACAAGGCCGGGGTCACACTACCAGACACTTCTCAGGGCTGCAGTTCCTCTGAACTCCACAAGGTGGGGATCTCACTTCTACCCAGACAGGAAGTCTCTATGGAAGACAGATAGGAAGTGATGTCAGGTACAGACAGGAAGTGATGTCAGGTACAGACAGGAAGTGAGGTCAGGCAAAGACAGGAAGTTATATGAATAAGGAAGTAGAGAGAAGATGTTGCTGGATCTAGCAGCAGAGGAGGTAAATATGCAGATTAACCCCTTCAGGGGGAGGAGTTGATGATAATATATTTGCCCCCAAAGCTGGCCTACATGGTTCAGTTTTATCGTTCAGCCAGCGGGATGACCATAAAAACTGAAGCGATTCCCCCATCCACACATTGGAGGTGGATGGGGGAATCCTCCCCGCTGCACTCTTGTATTCTGACAATGGGGGGACTCCTCCGCTCTCAGAATACACAGATCAGCACTGAAGCTATTGGCTGCACCCGCTGGGGGAGTGGCTTTTATCCGGGCAGCAGTGGCCACACATGGATGGAAATGTGAGCGATCCCTGCTGAACCAGCTGAATTTCCATGGATCTATGTCACTTTCAGTGACTTCCTCCCCTCCCCCTCATCTCCTTCATGATGGAAGTCATGCTGAGATCATCCCCCATTGGCTGAGCAATGTCCCTCCATCCAGAGTCAGAGAATCCTATGACATCACCCTGACCTCACAGCTCCTCCCCCCAATGTCCCTCCATCCAGAGTCAGAGAATCCTATGACATCACACTGACCTCACAGCTCCTCCCCCAATGTCCCTCCATCCAGAGTCAGAGAATCCTATGACATCACACTGGCCTCACAGCTCCTCCTCCCAATGTCCCTCCAACCAGAGTCAGAGTATCCTATGACATCACACTGACCTCACAGCTCCTCCTCCCAATGTCCCTCCATCCAGAGTCGGAGAATTCTATGACATCACACTGATCTCACAGCTCCTCCTCCCAATGTCCCTCCAACCAGAGTCAGAGAATCCTATGACATCACACTGACCTCACAGCTCCTCCTCCCAATATCTCTATATCTGACTTTTTTTTCTGATGCTCTTAGGATGTGGGGTCCCTTGGTATCCTCACATGTAAAGTGGGACTGTTGGTCCTGCGTTGTATGTAATGACATCAGAATGCTGCAACAAGCCTATACCCTGCGTAGTGTGGGGGTCCTGTGGGGGGAATTATACCTCAGCCTGAAGTGGGGCTTTAATAAAATGGAGACCTGAATGGAGAGGTGAGGAGGATTCTGGGAATATCATTTGATGTGACTATTTGTGTTCAGATGTAGAGTTTTCCTCCTGTGAAGTCTGGAGATCATATGACATCACATTGCCTCCACCTCCCTCCCTGATAGAAGAGAGAAAGAGGAAGAAGATTCTAGAAGTCACCAGAGAGATCACTGAGCTGCTGACAGGAGAGGTGAGCGGTGCCGGGAATTCTGGGACATTCTCCAGTAACAGACAAGGGATGTGTCTGGATGGTGACTGTATCATTGTGTGTGTCAGGTTCCTATAAGGTGTCAGGGTGTCACTGTCTATTTCTCCATGGAGGAGTGGGAGTATTTAGAAGGACACAAGGATCTCTACAAGGACGTCATGATGGACAATCAGCCGCCCCTCACATCACCGGGTAAGAGGAGACTTTATTGTAAAGGAGAGAGAGCAGTACGGAGGATCCACCTAGATCCCCCATCATCTGATAAACACATAGAAACAATGGATTCAGTCAGTGTGTGTGTTTTCCTACAGATGGATCCAGTCATGGGAACCCACCAGAGAGATGTCCCCATCCTCTGTATTCCCGGGATTCCACACAGGAAGGTCACACCATCCCTCACCATCATCAGGTAGATGATGACAATTATTGGTAGTTGTGATTTTATACACAGCATGTTTTGTTACAATGAATGTTTTATTATATCTTTCAGAGTGGAATCCTCGGGGATGAAATAATATTGATGTTAAAGAAGAGTATAAAGAGGAGGATGAGAGTATGGAGTGATGGAGGAGTTTTTCAGAAGGATTCCTCCTGTATTCCCGGGATTATCCACAGGGCGAGGTCACAGCGTGTGTGTGGGTGTGACCATCCCTCACTAGGGGAGACAAGGTTGGTGGGATGGAGCATCTAAGCATGGACTTGTAAAGATGATGTGGTGGATTCTTTTAACAGAAGTGTGATTCTTCTCACATTTCCTTGATTTAGACGTGAAGTGGAGAACTAATCGTAGTGGGTATAGGAAATTTGGTGAAAAGCAGAATGGAACAGAAGAGGCGATAGTGAGGAAGATCAGCAGTTATGGAGGAGGAATGGAATAACGGGGACATTTATAGAGGAGGACACTCCTACAGAGATCAGCGAACAGGTGGGTCATGAACACTAAATCCATTCCTCCCACCTCATACTGCTCACTGATTGAGATGAGTCCAGAGTAGGTGGCGGGGACTGGGTGATATCAGCCTGTAATTCCCTGGTCACTTTCCTGAGCTGTGTTCGCCGTCGAGTATTCTGGGATTTCTTCGGATAATTTACCTTCTTCTGTGCTGCAGACAAATTTATGTATCACAGTTTGGTAGGTTTCCTCACTCTCTCTGACTAAGGTCCATGAATAAAGAAATGACCTGGTAGGAGATCAGAGGAGCCATTTCCTAGTTCACACTTGAGGGTGGGAATTGTAAGCTCCTCAGAGACCAAGCTGCCTAGCTGATGTGGGTGGTAGTCATGGTTTGGGGGAACCAATCAGCTCCTGTTTATGAGGTAATCTCTTTGTCTTTGTATTTTAGTCCAATGGCCCGGGAGATGAGGAAAAACCTCCGAGGATTGTTCTCACTTTGTCTCCAGACTGGAACGTAGAAGATGAGGACATATCGACACAGTATAGTCAGGAGAGCGAAAACCCGGCTCCTCAATGTCCATCCGGCACCACCCAGTGTAGCTGATGGACCATCGGATTCCCTCGTATACCTGAGGAAACCTCAGATGTGCGGGACGGGCCGGCTTCCAACTGGGAAGAGCTTCTCTGTACTGAGTGAGCGGGAAGGCGTTTCCCGTTTGCTAAATCCTATCTTAATGTGCATAAAAGATCTTCACAGGGGGAGAAAGAAGGGTGGTGCATCATTCCCTGTCCTCAGTGCGGGAAATGTTGTTTCAGTGATGTCCAATCAATCTTTACAGGGATCGAGATCTGTCAGAGTACGGGGAAAAAGGAGCATATTCTTGTCCACATCGAAGATGTGCGGGAAGCCGTATTCTTTTGATGAGGTAAGTCAATCTTTTCACACTCACATCGAAGATGTCACAATTCCTGGAGTGTGAGAAATGCGGTGATAGAGAGTTATTCTTTCAACACAACAGAGTGGGGAAATGGAGAAGCAAAAATCATATCAAAACTTCCATCGTTTTCACCGACAGTCTGCAGCGAATAAGATATCTCACACGGGAGATAGAAGCCATATTCCTGTCCTGAGTGCGGGAAATGTTTTTCAGAGTAAGAACAGTTTGTACAAACATCAGAAGATCTCACACGGGGGAGAAGGGCGCTTATTCTGTTCCTGAGTGTGGGAAAATGTTTTTCACAGAATTCCAGTCAAACATAGGATCTCACAACATAAGAGATTCAAATGTTTTCAGAGCACAGGAGAGAACTCATATTCCTGTTCCTGTGTGCGGGGGAATGTTTTTTCAGAGCATTCGCAGTTTGTACAAACATCAGAGAACTCACACAGGGGAGAAAGCCATATTCTTGTCTGGGTGTGGGAAAGGATGTTTCTTCACAGAAATTCCTGTCTGCACAAACATAAGGGGATCTCACACAGGAAGAGCCATATTCCTGTCCTGAGTGAGGGAAATGTTTTTAGGAGCATTCCAGTTGTGTACAAACATCAGAGAACTCACACAGGGGAGAACGCTTATTCTGTCGCTGAAGTGCGGGAAATGTATTTCGAGACGATTTATGGAGGTTTGTCCAAACATCAGAGACTTCACACAGGGGAGAAGCCATATTCTGATATGTCTGAGTGTGGAAATGTTTTTCACAGAATTCCAGTATGGCACAAAACTAAGAGATCTCACAAGATTGGAGAGAAGAATATTCCTGTCCTGAGTGCGGGAAATGTGTTTCAGAGCATTCCAGTTTGTAGTAAACATCAGAGAAAACTCACACAGGGTGAGAAAGCCATACTTCGCGAGTCCTGAGTTGCGGGAAATGTTTTTCCGAGAAGTCCATTTATACACAAACATAAAAAGATTTCCCACAGGGGAGAAAGCCATCATATTCTGTCACTGCAGTGCGGGACATGTTTTTCAAGGTCATCAAATCTTTCACACACAATCAGTGATCTCATCACACTGGGGGGAAGTGGTATTTACTTTTTTAGCGTCTGAAGTGCGGGAATGGGGAGGATGTTTTATAGAAAAATCAAAGAGAGCGTCAGACATCAAAGATTCTAACACGGGGGAGAACGCCGTTTTCCTGTCCTGAGTGTGGGAAATGTTTTTCAGAGAGTACAGGTCTGTCACACACAACAAGAGATCTCACAACGGGGGAGAAAGCCATTTCATGTCCTGAGTGAGGGAAATGTTCGGGCGCGGGGGACTGAAGTCCTGTATTACTGTACATCAGGGAGTACCAACACAACCCTGGAGGTGTCTTAGTGCCTTCGTGGTGGGGGAAATGTCTTCTAGGTATTGAATTGTTGTGGACATACCAGCTTCATGTGGGGAAGAAGGGACACTGATATACCACTCAGATATACGCCATGGTGATCTCTCCTCATGAGAAGAAAAGTCAACTAGAGATGAGGCGAATTGGATTCAAAAATTCGATTCGGCTGATTCGCCGTTTCTCCTTCAGGAGAGACAATTCTGACGATTCGATGCGAATTAATTCGCTACGATACGTTAACCTTTAAAAAAAGGGTTTCTAGGATTCAGAGGGAGGCTTTAAATAGTGCAGAACACTGTACCTTTAATTTAATTGCCCTGGAGATGAGGAAGGAGAAGGAGAAGCGATGAGAAGATGGAGAAGGAGGTAAGAGGATGAGAAGAAGGAGAAGGAGGAAGGATGAGGAAGAAGAGAAGGATGAGAAGAAGGAGAAGGAGTGGAAGAAGATGAGGAGGAGAAGGATGAGGAAAGAAGGAGGAAGGATGAGAAGGAGGAGGAGAAGGATGAGAAGAAGGAGAATGAGGAAGAAGGCGAAGGATGAGGAAGAAGGAGACGGATGAGAAGCAGGAGAATGAGAAGAAGGAGGGAAGGCATGAGGACAGAAGTAAGAAAAATTCCAAGCTGGCAAAAAGTGTATCTGCAGAGCTCCTCTGCAGATACACTTAGAGGAGCTCTGACATACACTTTTTTTATTTTCATCCTACTTTCTTCTTCATCTCATCTCTCATCTTCTGAGGAAGTGAGGGCTGATGAAGAGAAAGAAGATGAAGAAGTAGGATGAAATTATAGAATTAACACAAGGCAAAAAGTGTAGTGTATGTGCAGAGTTCCTCTATTTCTGACAGTTTCTCTGACAGCTTCTTCACATATACAGCGGTTGAAACATCTGTATCCTAAATGGATAACTAATAGATACAATGTTTCAACCGCTGTACATGTGAAGGAAAACTGTCAGAGAACTGTCAGAAATAGCGGAGCTCTTGCAGGGGGTCACTTTTGCCGGATGATCGGGAAAAAATCCGATTCACGCACCGAAGTTGGCAAATATTTCGGATTCGACGCCGAATCGAATTTTTCTGAAATTCTGTATCGAATTCCGGTTCGCCTGGTTCGATTCGCTCATCTCTAGAAGAAACAGTTCATAAGGAGATCAGAGGCCCCCAAAGACATGGATGAAGTGTGGGACGGGATGGCCATTGATGGCAGGAGAAGAATAAAAATGGAGTACGGTCCAGCCCTGTGATTGGCTGAGTACATTTTGTGGTGGGAGATTTCACTAACACTTGGAGGTCTATGGAGAACAATGTTGAACGGATGTGACCGGCATTCTCCAGCTGGGAGGAATTTTGGCCGTCGTATTTTATTTCTTCATGATCATTGGCTCCATCTAGTGGCCATAATATCATATTGGGCTAGTTTTACTGAGGAGAGATTTCACGAAAAAATCACCTCATTGTGGCCACTAGATCAGTGGTCGGCAAGCCGCGGCTCGCGAGCCACATGCGGATCTTTACCACTCTAATGCGGCTTTTCTGTGTGCCGGGCGCCTGCTCCCTCCCTCCTCTCGGTCGGCCGCTCCCCTGCCTCCTCTCGGTTGGCAGCCCAAAAGTCCGCGCGGACCTTTTAATTCGGCCCGCGGATGTGGCTGTCAGGATGTGTGTAGGCGGGGGCAGCGTGCCGAACGTGAGGGGAGGGGAGCTAGGCTCCTCTCACAGTCCGCCCTGAAGACCGAGCGGCGCGGGGTGAGACAGCGAGAGGAACGCAAAAGGTAAGTGAATTGACACGGGGGACTTGGCTTACTAGATGGGGGGGGGGGGGGATAGTACTGTGGGGGATGAAATACTATATGAGGGATGAATTACTTTATGAGGGATGAATTACTATATGGGGGGATGAAATACTATATGAGGATGAAATGATGATACTATATGAGGGATGAATTACTATATGAGGGATGAATTACTATATGAGGGATGAATACTATATGGGGGGATGAAATACTATATGAGGGATGAATTACTTTATGAGGGATGAATTACTTTGAGGGATGAATTACTATATGGGGGATGAAATTACTATATGGGGGGTGAAATTACTATATGGGGGGGGGAAATACTATATGGGGGATGAATTACTATATGAGGGATGAATACTATATGGGGGATGAAGATACTATATGAGGGATGAAATACTTTATGAGGGATGAATTACTATATGAGGGATGAAATACTATATGGGGGGATGAATACTATATGGGGGATGAAATACTATATGGGGGGATGAAATACTATATGGGGGGATGAAATACTATATGGGGGATGAAATCTATATGAGGGTGGGATGAATACTATAAGAGGGATGAAATACTATATGGGGGGATGAAATACTCTATGGGGGATGAAATACTATATGGGGGATGAAATACTATATGGGGGGATGAAATACTATATGGGGGATGAAATACTATATGGGGGATGAATACTATATGAGGGATGAAATACTATATGAGGGAATGAAATACTATAAGGGGGTATGAAATACTATACGGGGATTGAAATACTATACGGGGGATGAATTACTATATGGGCGATGAATTACTATGGGGGGATGAATTACTATGGGGGATGAAATTACTATATGGGGGATGAATTACTATATGGGGGATGAATTACTATGGGGGATGAATTACTATGGGGGATGAATTACGATGGGGGAGAATTGAATTACTATATGGGGGATGAATTACTATGGGGGATGAATTACCACTATGGGGGGTGAATTTACTATATGGGGGATGAATTACTATGGGGGATGAATTACTATATGGGAGATGTATTTTCAGTTTTAAAAATGATGTGGCTCTCAAAATAAATTTCAATCATGGTTTTGGCGAGATTTGGCTCAGTTGAAAAAAAAGGTTGCCCACCACTGCACTAGATGGAGCCGGCGATAATAGGGAAATCTCTGTGTTACTTGAGGTCACACTCCCGCACTCGGAGGTCACAACTCCGTATACTCTGAGGTCACACTCCGCACCCTAAGGTCACACTCCCGCACTCTGAGGTCACACTCCCGCACTCTGAGGTCACACTCCCGCACCCTGAGGTCACACTCCTGCACTCTGAGGTCACACTCCCTGCACCCTGAGGTCACACTCCCGCACCCTGAGGTCACACTCCCGCACCCTTGAGGTCACACTCCCGCACTCTGAGGTCACACTCCCGCACCTGAGGTCACACTCCCGCACTCTGAGGTCACTCTCCCGCACTCTGAGGTCACACTCTCGCACCCTGAAGGTCACACTCCGCACCCTGAGGTCACACTCCCACACCCTGGAGGTCACACTCCCGCACCCTGAGGTCACACTCCCGCACTCTGAGGTCACACTCTCGCCACCCTTAAGGTCCACTCCCGCACTCTGAGGTCACACTCCCGCACCCTGAGGTCACACTCCCACACCCTGAGGTCACACTCCCGCACTCTGAGACCCATAAAACTTTATTTTGGTGGTATTTATTCACTGCTGGATTTTTATTTTTTTTTTGCTATATAAATGAAAATGTCCAAAAAGTTTGTAAAAAAAAGTGTTTCTCTTATAAAATATTGCAAATAAATAATCTTTCTTCATAAATTGTGGCCAAAAAATGTATTCATGATATCTTTTTAGTAAAAAAAAAACCCAAATTAGTTTATAACCAAAATTATAATTTTTTTAAAAAAAAATTACATTTTTTTATTTTTTTATATTATTATGTTTTTTACACCCATAAAAGGCTGTAAAAAGCAATAATTTCTCCTTATCTCCAGCTGCATCCTGCAGCCATTAAGAAATACTGTGAGAGCTGTGATGGTCACAGCTTGTCACATGGAATCAAGTCTGTTGGGAATAGCCCTGTACCATGTGACCTCGGTGATCAACTCACAGATTTCACTAGTAGTAAGCAATGATATCAGGAAGTGGACATTCTCCTTACTACTGTTCATGTGATCACTTGTCTTCAGTTCACTGGTCTTCCCAGTGAATGGCTGTGCAGGGAGGGTGAGATGTCAAGGACAAGTCTGGGTGATTGGAGGAGAGCAGACTGAGCTCCCAGCAAAGCTACAAAAATGACCACGCTGAGCTCTCATGCCTAGTGTGGCAGTTTTAATTGGGAATCAGAGGGGACTGGCAGGATCACTGGGGATCTCACACAAAGATACCAGGACATGGGACAGCCGGCACAGATCAGGAATAGGACATGTTGGAGGAAACATATTCTTTGAAGGAGAAGTTCAGGCAAAGCTCTTTTGTCTGTACTTCTCCTGTGGATCAGAGGAGTGCAGTTCATTCTGATCTCCTGTGACCCATTTTCAGGTGAAGCCCGCTGTCAGCTGACGTCACACAGCCGGTCCAGTCTGGGGAAAGATCCCGAGATCAGAGTCTGGACCAGCCGCACCCTCCCCCTCCACAGCCCAGTGAATGTGGGGGGGGGGGGCAGGGAAGAGAGCGGTGATTCCGGATCATCATATACTAAGCAGGATTTGGACCCCGGTGGAGAACTTTCACCCCAAGAAAAAATGAGGGTGAGGTCAGCAGAGGAGCCCATAGTAAAGGAGGAAACTCTGAAATGTTTTCTTCAGAAGGTCGGAGTTTACTGGACAAGTGAATGTAAAATACACCATCAACGCGTTTCATGGCTTCAAAGTGTCACTTCATCAGGACAGGTGTAAGAAGACGATATAAAAATAGGGAATGAAGTAACAGTCCAGTATATGGTATTATAAAGACCCGAGTCACATACAATTCATGGACAGGACTGAGATTTATAGCATTCAGGATTTGTATGATGTTACACAAGGTGAAGAGATACAGTTGTGTTGAAAATAATAGCCGTCAGACATCACTAACCGGATCAGTCACTGTTTTTGGTGGAAATGATATTTCTACATGGCAGATAATTTCCTAGCAGGTGTAGTAGAGTAATAGAAATCCAACAGACCCGACAGTCATGACATGCATGCTGCTGATTCTGTGTCATTGAATCACTCATTGAAAGGGGCGTGTTCACAATAATAGCCGTGTGGAGTTCTATTAGTGAGGTCATTCATTCTTTGATAAACAGGTGGCAATTATTGCCCTTATTTAAGGAAGGAAGGCAGCAAATGTTGGACATGCTGGTTACAGTGCATTTCTCTCTGAAATTTGAGGAAAATGGGTCGTTCCAGACATTGTTCAGAAGAACAGCGTACCTTGATTAAAAAGTTGATTGGAGAGGGGAAAACATATAAAGAAGTGTAGAAAATGATCGGATGCTCAGCTAAAATGATGGCAAATGCTTTAAAATTGCAACCAAAACCTGAAAGACGTGGAAGAAAGCGAAAAACTACCATTGGAATGGATAGAAGAATAGCCAAAATGGGGCAGACTCAGCGAACAATCAGCTCCAGGAAGATGAAAGAAGGTGTGACGTTCCCTGTGAGGACTGTTACAATTAGAAGACGCCGATGTGAAGCCAAGATATCTGCAAGAAGTCCCCGCAAAGTCCCACCGTTGGAAAAAAGACGTGTGCTGAAGAGGTTACAATGTGCCAAAGAGCACATTGATGGCCTAAAGAGAAATGGTGCAACATTTTGTGGGCTGATGGAAGTAAGATTGTTTCTTTTTGGGTCTTAGTGGGCGGAGACAGTTTGTCAGACGACCCCCAAACACTGAATTCAAGCCACAGTACACTGTGAAGACCGTGAAGCATGGTGGTGCAAGCATCATGATATGGGGATGTTTGTCATACTACGGTGTTGGGCCTATTTATCGCATACCAGGGATCATGGATCAGTTTGAATCATCAGAATACTTGAAGAGGTCATGCTGCCTTATGCTGAAGAGGAAATGCCCTTGAAATGGGTGTTCCAACAAGACAACGACCCCAAACACACCAGTAAAGGTGTAACATCTTGGTTCCAGACCAACAAGATGGACGTTATGGAGTGGCCAGCCCAATCCCCGGATCTTCATCCAATAGAAAACTTGTGGGGTGACATCAAAAATGCCGTTTCTGAGGCAAAACCAAGAAATAGAGAAGAACTGTGGAATGTGGTCCAATCATCCTGGGCTGGAATACCTGATGACTACAACCAAATATTCATGAAGTCATTCAAAGGAAAGCAAAATCTTCAAACATTTCTCAGTTTATATAGTGAATGTTGGAGTTTGTAAAGAAGAATACAAACACTGAGATTTTTTTGAACCGTCTAATATTCACTTTTCTTCTATTTTTTTAGAGGAAACAACACAAATTTGATGTATTTTTCTTCCTGCTGTGATTTGGAATAGAATGTGTCGTGTTCCCAATGCATTTGTATGGATGGAAATAAAAGCTATTAGAAGGATTTTCAGCTTTATTCACTTTTTTTCAACACACTGCTATTATTTTGAACACAACTGTATATGGAGAGGATGATCAATACATGGAGAAATCAATCTATTCTATCATAGAAGGGAATCAATAGATCAATAAATGACATCAACCAATCAATAAGATCCATTTCATGGGATAGATTTATCATTCTGTGCACTGGTTATGTTGGAGGATCAAACCGTGATCACTGGATATTGGAAACATTCCTATTGATCTGATGATTGCTGGCATGGATTCCTGATTGATTATTGCTGGGAATAAAGTCCAATAAACACGCAGATTTGATGGGATTATTGATAGAAAAATCTCTTCATATTCCATGGAATAAATATGTGTAGAATAGTTTGGATTTGATGGAATAAATCTCTATAAAAAGACTTTGTGGGGTTTGTTGGTTCTTTTCTATTCCTCTCTAGGTCTGGATTTCAGGAAGAAGAAACAATTCCTCCAATTTCTAGTGGATGGTGAGGAGGGGAGAGATTTGGGGGAGTTTTGTACATACAGGAGGTAATAGAGAGAATCCGGCTAGTAATTGATGAGAGGAGATTTCACTGGAGAGTTCCATTGGAGAGAATTCAGGGCTGGGGGCACTGCTGGGGCCTGGAGGGTTCTGATTGGACCACCAGTACATGTGTCATATTAATCTGGGGGTGTGTGTACTGCTGGGGCCTGGAGGGTTCTGATTGGACCACCAGTACATGTGTCATGTATTAATCTGGGGGTGTGCACTGCTGGGGCCTGGAGGGTTCTGATTGGACCACCAGTACACATGTCATTAATCTGGGGGTGTGCACTGCTGGGGCCTGGAGGGTTCTGATTGGACCACCAGTACACGTGTCACATATTAATCTGGGGGTGTGCACTGCTGGGCCAGGAGGGTTCTGATTGGACCACCAGTACATGTGTGTGTATTAATCTGGGGGTGTGCACTGCTGGGGCCTGGAGGGTTCTGATTGGACCACCAGTACACATGTGTCATATTAATCTGGGGGTGTGCACTGCTGGGGCCTGGAGGGTTCTGATTGGACCCAGTACCAGTACATGTGAACTGTGCCATGGAGGGTTCTGGGACCACCAGTACATGTGCATAAAATCTCCCTGTTAAATCTCTGGTCTAAGTTCATTGCCAATGTGTATGCAATTGCACTGTGTGTGTTGGCAGATTGCATGGAGATTGTAAAGTAGCAGATCTGCCAGACAGAGATCTGTGTGTGTGTGGTGGCCCAGCAGATCAGTCTGCGACAAACTGTTGGGTGGTGGCAAGCTACCGTTTGTGGTGTCTGGTGTGGGTGTGGACAGTGGAAGAGTGATTAACATCGGGGTTCTGGCTTGTAGGATAGCTGGAGGAATCCTGGAAGGGTGTGTGATTGCTAGACTGCTCCCCAACCCTTAGAGTGCACAAGATTGTATGTAAGATTCGTATCTGCCTGTGTGGGGTCAGCCAGCTGGATTGGAGTGGAGTCTCCCTCTAGTGGTGACCAGGGTAGTGCGGGCTGTGAAAGTGTATCATGGCCAGCCTTATATGCTCAGAGTCCCCCTCACTCCCTCTGTACCCCAGTCACACATGTGCACGCCTCGGTTATCTAGTCGCTGTGGGCGTGTTTTTATCCCTGACACCCTCAAACTGATGGCCTGGTGGGGCTTCCCCAGTCCTCTAAGGGGCACTCTCCATTTGAGTTACTCTATGGGAATCATCCTCGGGAGCTCCTAGACATAGCCAAGGAAACCTGGGAGGGGGAGCAGACACCCCACAAAAGTGTCATTGAGCATATCGCTCATATGCAGGACAGGATTACAGCGATCACGTCTATTGTAGAAGAACACGAAGTTCACACCCAGGAAGCCCAACAAAGAATATACAATGGGGTTTTCTCATCTGGTGACCGGGTCCTGGTGTTGGTTCCCACTGTTGAAAGCAAGTTCCTGGCTAAGTAAAAGGGTCCTTTGAAGTGGTTAAAAGAGTTGGGGAATTACAAAGTATATCAATCGGATAATAGAAATCCTGAGCAGATATACCATGTACACCTGTAAGCCCCTGGAAGGGTAGGGTGGCACTGACTGTGGGGTCTGCCCCTGGAA